GTTTACCAGTAGAGGGCGCCCATCCCAACTGTATTTGGGCATTCGGTACCACATTTCCTTCTGAATTCAGTAGACATACTGAGTAATTTTTAAATCCTGAGGCTTGAAGAAGTTTATGTTCCAAAAGTTTGTTTTTAAAAATTAGCCTGGAAAATAGCTGAAATGAAAAAATGAAAAATACCAAATGTTCATGAGGACATAAAAACACTAAAACTCATACCTTGCTGGTGGGAGTAAATCTGTACGAGCAATTTTAGAAAACTGGTATCATATTCTAAAGTGAGCATACATATACCCTGGGGGTCATGATCCAATCTATCAAAACAAATTTGGGTCACACAACGTTGATGGCAAATAGCTTCCCTATTGGTTGGTTCGTTGGTTTTTCCCCCCTAGTTAGGCAGAATTCATATTGAAGCTTTCATAAAATAGACATTTGAGGACTAATAAACATACTCTCAATCATAAAGGTATTTTTATTCCTTTGAGGAGGGAGAAGTGCTCATCAAGAACGGCCCTTTCCTTTCCCCCCTCCAGCCTCCATGCTGCTTCGCGTCATCCTGCCTGTGAGCTTCTGCGTCATGCTCCTGGTGCTTGGGTGCCACCTGAAGAGTCAGTGGTGAGTGTGTGACAAAGGTGCCAGCCAAGAGGAGTTCGAGAAACGTCAAGAAAGGGGTTTAGTAAGATAGAAATGACACTGCATGATGTTAAAAAATAGTGCCGAAAATGAAAAGGACAAAGGAGGCTGAGGTGAGAGTGTGTAATTCATTTCACAATTTTGCTCTCCAGGTCCATGTACACGGGAAATAACAACCATTTAACGTAAAGAGATTGCAAAAGCTTTTCAATAGCAATAGCTCACATTTATCTCACTATATGCTTAGCAGTGATCTCAGTGCTTTACCTGTAGTAACACGTTTGTCCTCGTGAGGACACTAAAGTACTGCGATTTAACCAACGAAGAAATTAAAGCACGCAAGAGTTAAGTAACTTGCTTAATAAGTGATAAAGCAGGGATTAGAAGCCAGGGGTCTGACCCCAGAGTTCTTGCTCTTAACTATTCCACTATATTGTGAAATTCAGTCTCGTTTTCACTGTTTTTCTAGGATGAAGGATAAGTGTTATCCTGACATCCCAGACCCTTACAAGAGCAGCGTCCTGTCATTAATCAAATCCAAGGTAAATGCTGGGAAATTGTATGTACACCATATGGCTATTGAGGACTAATCCAGAATTGGGGCTGTAATAACCAGACTTTCCTAGACCTCAGGAAAATTTTTTTTTTTTTTTTTTTGAGACAGAGTCTTGCTCTGTTGCCCGGGCTAGAGTGCCGTGGCGTCAGCCTAGCTCACAGCAACCTCAAACTCCTGGGCTCAGGCAATCCTCCTGCCTCAGCCTCCCGAGTAGCTGGGACTATGGGCATGCGCCACCACGCCTGGCTAATTTTTTCTATATATATTTTTAGTTGTCCAGCTAATTTCTATTTTTAGTGGAGATGGGGTTTTGCTCTTGCTCAGGCTGGTCTCAAATTCCTGACCTCAAGCGAACCTCCCGCCTCGGCCTCCAAGAGTGCTAGGATTACAGGTGTGAGCCACCACGCCCGGCGTCCTCAGGAAAATTTAACAAAGTAAAAGCCCCCTCTGCTCCCACAGCCATGAAATAGGTAATTGGAGCTTTCGTTTCTTCTGTCAGAGGAAATCGTTTGGGTTTCAACAACACCTCCAGGTAGCTTGTGACCAGGAAGAA